TGCTCCGCGCTGTCGAAGGGCCGTGCCTGCTCGTGCGATTTGCTCAGAGTGTGCCAGCAGGCGGGCGCCCTTTTGCTCGCCACCAACAGTCGCCTTCGGCCGCGCTGGGTTCCCAGCGAGTTCAATGTTGCGGACGAGCCCTCACGCCGTGAGGAGCGGGCGGACGCTCGCCGCCGGGCCCGCGCGGCTGCCGGGCGTGGGCAAGGAGAGGCAGCTGGCCGGCAGGAAGCAGGCAGCTGGCGCCCTCTCCCGTGCGCAAGCGGCGGCGCCGACGGGCTCCCGGAGCCTCCGGGCTTGGGGCGCTGGCGAGAGGGAGCGCAACCACCGCGCGTCTCCCAAGGAGAAGCGCCTGCTGACGGCGCTGGCGGAGGCTCCGGAGGAGCGCTGTGTCTCGGACAGGATGAATCAATATTACCACTTCGATTTGAAGGAGTTTCTGCACGGAGAACGCGTTGCCCACGGCCATCTCGGCGCAGACCGACTTGCTGCTCGTGGACTACTTCGACGGGCAGTTCCTGGACGGGCACGGCCCCTCGCTCGCGGAGAAGACCATCGCGGCCGTCCAGTTCGCGGAGGCCCGCACGAACAGCGGCCAGATCTGGTCGCTGGTGCGCGCCCAGAGGTCTTTGAAGGGGTGGAGGAAGGTCGCTCCTGCCATCAGCCTGCTGCCGCTGCCTTGGGGCATCCTGGCGGCGCTGGCGATGCACCTGGCGCAGCAGGGAAGGCAGGACATGGCGTTGTACCTGGCGGTGTGCTTCGAGGGCTACCTGAGGCCGTCGGAGGGGCTGAGCTTTCGAGCAAAGGATGCGGTCCCGCCGGTGGCGGGGGCGGGGCGCGGTTTCCGCCAATGCACGGCGATCATCAGGGGGTCCGACGAGAAGGTGCCAGACAAGGTCGGGGGCTTCGACAACAGCCTCATCATCGACCAAGGTCACTTGCCCAGCCTCGGCGTGGAGCTGCACTGGCGGGGTCGGGGCAAGGCGAGGGGCGCCTTCCTGTTCGATTTCCACCTGAAGGAGGTGCACGAACTGATGAACAAAGCTGCTCTCGACCGTGGACTTCGCGATCGCCTGCCGCTTTACCAGTGCCGGCACGGAGGCGCCGCCCACGACCTCGTCGGGGAGCGCAGGGGCAGGGCCACGGTGAGGGCCCGCGGCAGGTGGCAGACAGAGAGGTCCGTTCGTCGATATACCAAGATCGGACAGGTTCAAAACATGCTCGCGACGGTCGTGCCTCACGTCCTCGACCATGTGCAAAAGTGGCGGCCGTCCTGGGCGACGTGCTGATGGGGCGCAAGGCCGCCCTGCAGCCGCCGAAGGCGGCAAGGAAGGGACGAGAGCTCGGCGCAGGTCCCCGGCCCCGCGCCCGGGTGGAGCTCGATGGGGGCTTGTTGGTCGCCGAGGCTGCCTCGAGGTCTCCTCAGGACCAGGCCGCTTAACTGCATCGTTGAGAAGGCACCGCGTCCGAGCTGAGGGCTTGGACATATTGAATAATGTGAACCTGCTGGATAAGAGAAACCAGCAGCGCGTCCTCGCCCAGATTAGAAGCAGGAGGGTTGGCTGCCTGCGGTTCGGGCTGCCCTGCAATACTTGGAGCGGGGCGAGGCGATGGGGCGGCACTGGCCCAGGGCCACTTCGGGGCGAAGGTAAGTTCATCATGGGACTCCCGGGCCCGGGGGAAAAAGATGCCAAGAAAGCCAAGGAAGGAAATCAGCTGATGTGGTTTGTTGTGCGATGTTGCCGTGCCGCGTCTAAGGCTGCGATCCCCTGGGCGATCGAGAACCGTCGCGCGAGTCGTGTCTGGAAGGCCCTCGCTGTGAAAAAGCTCGCGAAGCTGACTTCCTTTGGGGCCGAGGCTCTATCTCCCGCTTTTGTGCATTTGGATTTCTGTCAGTACGCAGAGGCTTGGAAAAAGAGTGCAACCCTGTTATCCCATGGACTTGATCCCTCTCTTGCAGAGTGCAGATGTTTTCTGTCAAAGGGTGCATGTCCCCGCACAGGCTGCCGCCATGTCGTCTTGGAGGGAAAAGATTGTTCGAGAAATTGGAATACTCTACGTGCTAAAGCCTATCCTAAAGAACTGACTAGGGTGCTATCTGAATTAATTTATAAACGCCTTTTAAGAAGTCCACGTCGTGGATAAGGGAAATCTCCAGGCCTCGCCAGACCAAGCTGTAACTGCTTGCAGCCGCCCAAGGCGGCTGTCCGTCAGCTCGCGCCTCTAACCCTGTAACTTGCCGCGTTGCCACGCCGCGCGTCTGGAAAGGTTTTCTGGTCAAGGGGCGAGGTAGATCATGAGAGCGCGGGGCGCAGCATTGATCGTTCTTCCCCGCGGCCGTTTTCAACCCTCAAGGCTTTTGCTGTGCCATCCCGAACCCCGCCCTGCCCCCTCTCTCTCTCTCTCTCTCTCTCTCTCTCTCTCTCTCTCTCTCTCTCTCTCTCTCTCTCTCTCTCTCTCTCTCTCTCTCTCTCTCTCTCTCTCTCTCTCTCTCTCTCTCTCTCTCTCTCTCTCTCTCTCTCTCTCTCTCTCTCTCTCTCTCTCTCTCTCTCTCTCTCTCTCTCTCTCTTTTAACTTGGGGGAGATCTCCCGGCCCCGCCAGGCCAAACTGTAACTGTTTGCAGCCGCCCAAGGCGGCTGTCCGTCAGCTCGCGCCTCTAACCTTGCACTTTGCCGCGTTGCCACGCTGCGCGTCTGAAAAGGTTTCCTCGCCAAGGGGTAGGGTAGATCATGATAGTGATGATGTTGATGCTGATGCTGATGACGATGGCGATGCTGATGGTGATGATGCTGATGATGCTGATGATGCTGCTGATGCGGATGGCGCTTCTGGTACTGCTGACGACGTTGGTAATGGTATGGATCCTGATAGCGATGCGGACGATGACCAAGATACGGATGCTGATGATGATGACGATGCTGCTGGTGATGGTGGAGGCGGTGATGATGAGTATGATGTTGTCGCGGTTGGCGATGATGACGTTGCTGCGGCTGCTTCTGTTGATGCTGGTGATCATGACGATGCTACCAATCATGATGATGATGAAGATGATGATGATGATACGGCTGAGGATCCAGGTGATGCTGATGATGGTGATGGTGGTGACGATGTTGATGATGATGACGATGCTGACGGCTATGGTAATGGTGATGTTTCTGATGATGATGTGGATGTCCATGATGATAACGATGACGCTGATGTTGATGAGGATGATGATGATGACGATACTGTTTTTGTTGTTGATGCTGACGATGCTGATGATGATGACAATGATGGTGATGATGCTGCTGATGATGATGCGGATGCTGATGATGATGATGTTGATGATGGTGATGATTATGGTGCTGATGGTAATGGTGTTGCTGATGATGACGGCGATGCTGCTGGTGATGATGATGCTGCTGTGTATGATGATGCTGATGATGATGACGCATGGTGATGCGGATGATGATACGAATGAAGATACATATGAAGATCCTGGTGGTGCTGGTGATGGAAATGGTGGTGACGATGCTGTTGATGATGGAGATGCTGACGACTACGATGGGGATGTTTTTGATGATGGTGCTGATGCTGATGATGATAAGGATGCTGCTGTTGCTGATGATGATGACGATGACGGTGGCGATGCTGTTTGTGTTGTTGATGATAACGATGCTGATGATGACGATGATGATGCGAATGATGGTGATGATGCTGCTGATTATGATGCGGGTGATGATGATGATGCTGCTGTTGATGATGTTGATAACGATGCTTTTGTTGATGATGTCGATGGTGACGATGATGATGAGTATGATGATGATGATGCTGATGATGATGATGCTGGCAATGATGATGATGATGATGATGATGATGATGATGATGGTGATGTTGATGATGCTGCTGGTGATGATGATGCTGACGGCGACAGCCACGACGACTATGATGCCGATGAAGGAGCTGGAGGCGGAGGAGGCGGAGGAGGGTGAGGCGTGCCGTCACATGTGACACGTTCCGTCTTCAGTTCAGGAGCTGTCATAAGCCTCGTTTGGGCGGTCGTTGGGCCTCTTGTGGGCCTCTCGGGGGCAGATTTTAGGCCTTCTGGGCCTCTTGGTGGCCTCGTTGGGTGGGAGGTTCGAATTGTGGGCTCGTGTTCCCCCTCGTGGGCCCTTTCTTGGGGTTGTCTTGGGGCCCTTTGGGGCCGTCTTCGGCGCCCTTGGCGCTGTCTTGGAGCCCTGTCGGGTCGTCTTGGGGCCTTGGGGGCCTCTTGAGCCGCCTCGGGGCAGTCTTGTGGGCTTCTCTGGCCACCTTACAGCGTCGGAAACGTGAAAAGGCGACAACCCCCCAAAACACATTGATGCACCCAGAGGAATCAATGATGTTTGCCCCTCGAGGCTTTTTGTTTGCATTCTCGGGGCCCTCTTTTGAGCCTCCTGGGGCCTCTTGAGACTTCTTGCGGCGGAAGGGTCGCATTGTCGGATTGTGTTCCCGTCTTGGACCCTTCTCGGGGGCCTTCTTGGGCAGTCGTGGGCGCCTCTTGGGCCGTCTTGGAGCCCTCTTGGGCCGTCTTGGGGCCCTCTCGTGGCCCTGTTGGGCCGTGCTGGGGCAGTCTTGGGGCAGTCTTGGGAGCTTCTTCGGTAGTCTTTGGACGTCGGAGGGTCAAACAGGTGAGAACCCCAAACGCATAGAAAACCTGGACGAACATCACTGACATGTATTTCTCTATGCCCTCTTCGGACGTCTCGAAGGCCTCTTGGGCCGTCTTGAGCCCATCTTGGCAGTCTGGAGGCCAAAGTGGGTCGTCTTGGAGCCAGACTGGGCCGTCTAGATGGTATGCTGGCCTCGGGAGCGCGAATTTGTTGTCTTGCTAGGGATTGTGGCCACGGGACGGAGGCAGGTCATGCAACCCAGTTCGACGAGAGGGGGGGGGGCTAGAAGATGACATACCCCTACCAGACAGCACTTGGCGTTCTAGCACGCCTGGACGTACCAGGGGTCACGGTGGCGGATCGGCTCGGAGTACACGGTGCACGGCATTCGAATCCAAAATTGGGGCGATACGACACATGATGTAAAACAGGCTGTGTTGTACGCGTCGACGACGCAAGGCGGAGCATTCAACACGGTTGTTGCTTCATTAGGATCAGTGGCCATTGGAACTAGTAGCGCGCAGGACTTTGCCATCGTTTATAGTTCCCCTGTGCAACACCTTCGATTGGTGATCACACGAACAGGCACTGGTCACCAACCATATATTCGGGAAATCGCGTTTCAACTTGAGGCCAGTCAGACACCCAGCCCGACGCCCAGCCCGACGCCCAGCCCGACGCCCAATCCAGCAAATAGCGCTGCCGCCACTGGAGATCCACACCTGCATAATATTTTTGGGGAACAATTCGACTTAATGAAGACGGGCAGCCATGTTCTAATCAACATTCCTCGTGGAACCAGTGCCGAAAACTCATTGCTTCGCGTTCAGGCCGAGGCGCGCCGATTTGGTGGCAGTTGCGCGGATTTGTATTTCCAAGCATTGAATGTTACAGGTTTGTGGGCAGAGGCTAAGCAAGCAGGAGGGTACCACTTCGACTCGCACACGGGTGTCAATGAGAATTCAAAATGGTTCACTCTTGGCTCCGTCGAGGTCAAAGTTGCCCATGGGCGAACGCAAGGCGGTATCCTGTATCTGAACTTCTACGTTAAACATCTGCGGCACGCTGGCTTCCCCGTGGGGGGCCTGCTGGGGGAGGACGACCACCAGGACGCAACCACGCAGCCAGCTGAATGCAAGGAGCTAGTGGCCTTGCGCACAGCTCGTCAGAACACCGACACTTCTGCGCGTTCTGTTGCCACCGCGAAGTTGGCATGAGGTTTCTCCAGCTCCACTGAGCCACGCGAGGGCCGTTATACACACCATGGGCGCCAGTGGTTCACATGTGCCCTCATCGGCATTCTTTTGCTTCGCCCGTCTCCTCGCCCGGTCTTCGCTTGCTTTTTTTCTCCTCGGTGTTCTCCCAAGGCTTTCTCCGTCCTCGGCGGCTTCGCCTCCTTTTCCTGCCGCTTCTGGGGCGCGGCGCGCGGAGCAGAAGGACCGCGCGCTGCCGAGCAGAGGCGACGTGAGCAGGGCCACGCACCTTCCGCAGATTTCCCCTTCACTGAGGGTACGCCGGTTCTGGTGGCACCTTGCTCTCCCCTTCTGCTTCAAAGGACAAAAAGAGGAGGGGCCGGCTCCATGGCCGCCTGTGGTCGGGCGGGGCTGGGGCAGGAATCGATCGTTCCAGAGCGTGCCCGAACGCGCTCAGAGCGCTCCGGAACGCTCCGCGAAGGCCGCGGCGCCCGATCATTTTCCAGAACTGCCGCATCTCAGAGGTTCCCGGTGTATACGATTATGACAGTCGTGGCTGTGTGATGACGGCGACGATGACAATTTCGGTGACAGCTGATGACAACTGATGGCGACGACGACGATGACAATTGGATGACAATTCGATGACAATGTGGTGACCATCTCAGAGGTTGCCAACTTATCCCTGTCCGATCTTGTCCCTGTCCTTGCCTTGTCTCCTGTGGGCGCGCTGGCCGTCCTGGGGGCCATCTTGGCGTCTGCGAGGAGGTGCCGCGCCAGGTAGCCAAGGGGCCCCCCCGGCGGCCTGGGACAGGGCGCCAGCCTGGAGGCTTCTGCGGGAGGAGGGGTTGGGGGGGAGAGGAGGAGGAGGAGGAGGGGGAGGAGGAGGAGGAGGGGGCGGAGGCGGAGGAGGAGGAGGCGGAGGCGGAGGAGGAGGAGGGCGCAGCCTCGCTTCTGCGGGGTGCCCCCCTGCGGCTGTAGCAAGAGGCAGTGGCGCGAGCGCGTTTGCCAGCGTGGGGCCCATGCAGAAAGTAAGACGGCACTGTGGATATGTGAGCCGTGCGATGTACGAGCGTCTCCGCGGTCGTTGTTTCGAAGGGCAAGTCTGCATTTCCTCGGGGCACCCCTACTGGCGGGCACGGGGTGGCAGTGGGCTAGAAAATGGCGGACCCTCGGGACACAGATCCAATCCATGAGAAGCGCAAGCAAGAACCCCAGACAGCGCAAGCACCGTTTGGGGAATGAACCTTCGAACGTTCGCGCTGATTTCTTGGATCTGCGGCTGGATTCGCCCGGCTGCGCCTCCAGCGCCGTCCCTGTGCGCTCCGCGCGACAGGGGGGGGGGTCCAGCGCCGACCCAGGACTCTGCGCGGACCTCTGTCAGCTTGTGCGTTGCGCAGCTTTATCTTCCTCTAGAGGGAGCGGCAGGCATCGAAGGCGCCCACGGCGAGCCGCCGCCGCCCACTGCATTTCTCGAAGCGCCTGGCCGCCGGCCCATTTCGCATCACGGTGGCTGCATGGTGATGTGCTCGTGCCCATGGGGAACGGTAAGGCAGGCAGGACTGGTGTCGAGGAGATCGTTGGAGATGAGGCCCTCATGACGGGGCCGTCATGCAGGCCTCTTGTGCCGTCTTAGGGCCATCTTGGGCCATTCGGGGACCCGCTTGGAGGCTTTTTGTTCCGTCTTTGGTGTGATCTTGGGGCCTTTTGGGCCGCTCAGGGCGGTCGGCAGCTCGAAAAGGCGGTACTGCCCAAATCGTCCAGAAACCCAAGCCAAGTCACTGATGTTCGCGTCTTCAGGGGCCTCTCGATGTCCTCTTGGAACCCTCATGGGGCGTCTCGGGCGCTTCTTGGGCCGTCTTGGGACCAACGTGGGCTATCTTGGAACTGCCCCATCTTGGCCAGCACCCCTCCCCAAGGCGATCCTCCCTGTTCTGTCAGACCCCTCCGTGCTCATCCTACTCCTTCTGACCCAAATCCTCCTTTCATCTTCCATTACCTCCGTCTTCTCTCCCCCGTGCCCTTTCGAACGTTTCGTTTCATTGCACTAGACTGCAATGGTGCGCGCTGCATCACGTAGCAGGCAAAGTCGACGCCGATGTCGGCTACTACAGTCATCCACAGAGACAGTGGCTGCACCGAGGACGGCTGCAGCATCGACACTGACCACGCCAGTACTGCGGCAGCTAGGATAACCAGAACTGGCAATTCACAAGCGACCGCCGAAACCTGCTGCCGAAGCGCTGCACCACTACAGCACTACAGCCGAATCAAGTCACAGCCGAATCATCTCCTGGGCTCGTTGACCCCAGGGCCCCCCCTCAAGGGCACCCTGACCTAAGCGTCCCTTCCCCTTCCTGGAGCCTCTCCGAAGCCTCCTCGAGGCCCCCCCCCAGAAGGCTCCAGGACGGCCCGAGTGCCCACCTACACGTCCCAAGGGGCCGTCTTGGGTCCATAGCAGTTTGGCTCAAGCATTTGTAAACTCTCCTTCAGCAACCGCTCCTGCAGCCGGAGCCCCTGCGTCACTGAGCGCACCCTCGAACTATTTCTGTTTGATTGCGGGTCGGGCTGCTCCGTCACAATGGCCCGCTCTCTATTGGTCGCCGCCCCCCTGTTGTCGTCTTTCATCGGAGGCGGGGCCGCTCTGCATGTGGTGTCCATGACCCAGGGAATGCCAAACAGCAGTGGATATATCAATTCGACAAGCTTGGGCACTGACACGTTCGACGAGAAGTTCGCCAACGTCAAGAAGCGCGGCATGGTGACAGCCTCATGGTTACAAGACACGTCTTGGGTCGTTGGCTGGGTAGCAGCTTACCCTACTCAAGAGGGGCCTATGACTATGGATGGTGATGCGGACACGAAGTGGAATCCATGGAATCTTGGTAGACATTACAACAAATGGTGGATCGAGTTTAATATCCAGCTGCCTGCGGCAACTCCCGCCACCGTGCCAGCCCAGCTTTCTCGGTCTGTGCACGAGGGAGCACGGAGGTTCCAACGTCTGGCTTCTTGTCTCTTCGGCCTTCGAAGAGCCGTGGCACGTGGCGCGCTTTTCGTAGGGCCGTCGTGGGGGACCTGGGAGCTGGGTATACATTTTTGCTGTCACGTCTGACACATAGGCTGTCTTGGGTTTTGTGGTGCGTCGTCGAAGTCTGTGAAGCCTTCATGGGCGATGGTGATGACGATGACAATGATAATGCTGATGCTGACGATGATGATGATGCTGCTGCTGATGATGATGACAATGACGGCGACGACGATGATGATGACGAGGATGCTGAGATTGGTGATAATGATGATGCTATTGATGCTGGTGGTGATGGTGATGTTGATGATGGTGATGCTGACGATCATGACATGGGGATGATGTGATGATGGTGATGCTGGTAACAATGATGATGCTGACGATGGCGATGATTATATAGGCTCATACCACATCCGCCGACCCCTATATAAATTATTGCGCCTCCAGGACTGCATTTCACGAGGCGTCTCCAAATCATGACACGGCGCTCGACATCGTTCCTGTTGCTGCGTTGTTGTTATCGTACCTCTTGGTGCTCTTTTGTGGCCTTTTGGTGGCAGTTTGGCCTGTCTGCAGGCCATATCCGGCCGCCTCGAGACATCTTGGGCCAAGTTTTGGGGCCTCTTGGGGGCTTCCTGGGGGCTTCTTGGAGGCTTTTGAGGTTCTCTTGGGGATCCCTCAGGGCCTCTCGGGGTGTTCTCGGGGCAGCCTGGGGGCGTCTTGGAGCCGAAGGCTCGAACAGGTGCCCTCTGGACTCCGTCTTGGAGCCGTCTGGGGGCCCTCTTGGGCTGTCTTGGGGGCTTCGTGGGCTGTTGTTGGACCCTGTTCGATCCTTTTGGGGGGCCCTTTTGGCCGTCTGGGGGCGATATTGAAGGTTTGCCCGTCTGGGACGTTGTGGAAACCGAATAGGCGAGCATGCGAAACATGCTTATTCTTTTCTGAGGGAGTGGGACCATGGTTGTTTCTTGGGAACCTCTTGGGGCGCATCTTGGGGGCCTTTTGGGGCGTTTTGGCAGCCCATCGTGGGCGTCCAGGGGCGATATTTCGGCGAATCGTGGCCCCCAGGGACCGTCTGGGGAGCGTTTTGGTGCCTTCTTGGCGAGTTTTGGAGCCCTCCGCTCCCCCGTGGCGCGTTCGGTACGGGGTCGAGCTCGGCCAGGGGGGGGGTCAAATTGCCCGTTTGGGGTCCCTGGGGGGGATTATGGGGGGAGGGGGGGATGATCTCACGCGCCAAGAGACCCACAAGGGGTCGGTGGATTATGATTCTTATGATGACTACGATGATGGTAGCGATGATGCAACTGATGATGAGGATAATGTTGAGGATTCCGATTGTGTAGTTGATGATGATATGGTTTTTGCTGCTGATGACGATGATCATGGTGACGATGCTGATGCTGCTGTTGTGGTTGATGCTGATACGGATGATGATGCACGCGAGTCGGGTAATGCTGATAATGCTGATAAT